TATAAATATCTATATTCTACGTTAATATTAAAGTATATACATATAATACATGTTTTCAATGCTTACCATTCAAAATCATTATAATCACCATCATAATGTTTGCATACTGAATTGTGCAATTGCACACTTGAGATTTGTACAAGATTGAGGTTGATCTATTTACCCATCTGTACCTTTACATTGCACAAGCATCACAGAAGGTGCATTAAATATTTTTGCAGAACCAAAGCCTTAAACCTAAACCTACCTGAAACTTTAACACTATTCTTTTGCTGTCTTGTAAGCACTGGTATTTCCTACAGGACATTACAAACATAGTTATGAATATATACTCCCCTTTTAAGTTTGTTGTGTGCATTTTATAGCCATTTTTAGGATTAATTTGACCCTTTCGCTTGTTCTATAGAGGCTGCGGGGTGTGAGTTCTGTACCTGTCATATAGTATTGAAAACTTTCCCCTTGATGTGCTGGTTTAAATGAGCTTGTTGCTCTTTGACTGTGCCTGGAGACAGGAGTGCATTAAAAAATAGACAAGCAAGTTATTGCTGGTTTCGTAAAAGCTTCATAAACATACATTCATTTACACCATTTAGGTAAATGAGCCCATTTCCTTGTTTTAGCAATTTGCTGTAATCTAATGAAGAAATGTAGCTTGCTGTGCACAGCTCTGAAAGCATGCTGCTGGGTAAGCCAGCTTTATAAATGCTATCAATTAGGCTGATGCTACAATGCTCCACAATTGTTTTACTAATTGCCAATTAGCTACCTTGGAATAAAGCTGCGTTTTTTTCTTTTATTTGAGAGATTTACTAAGCAATCACTCATTTTCAAACGAGTACAGGATATTTGCAAAAAAAGCATTAAAGCTGTCCCAAAGGAGGAAGTTGATATCTTGTGGTGTTTTCAACACAGAGCGAAGAAAGCTATGCAGCATCAATCCATCTCATGCGTTTCTATTTGTATGGAGGAGGAGAGAGGACAGAATCACTGTTAATCACAATTTACTGTTGAAACACACGACACGCGCAGTATTTACTCTCATTTTTAATCTGTCGTACTCCTGAGAATACATAATGTATTACCAAACAGCAGGCTGTTTAATAATTAGTCAGGCCGTCTTCGGTTAAACAAAGAGAAGGAAATACTCTAGATCTTTAATAGTCAAGTTATGACAGTCATTCATTAAGACGTGTCTTCTAAAAAGCACAGCTGGCGCAACAGTCATGCTCCGTGTTTTTGGAAGTGTGTTTTACAGCGGAGAGGTGAGACTCTGAATGGATGACAGCCTCTCTGGAGCTGCTTTTGTTGTGATGCATCACATGAACAACCGTTACATTTTTCTTGTCAAACACCCAGTCAGGTCCGGATCGCCCGGTTACTCAAAGACAATGAGAGAATTCCAATTATGCGCAAACAACTTCGGTTGGAGAGCTCGGCGAAAACGTTAATGTTGCTGCGAAGGTAAACAAGAAGCTCTTATTGACAGTTCAAGGCTTCCTCTTTGTCTGAAATCCACTGAAAATTGATAGAGAAATTTAGAGGAAGCATGATTATTGATTGGATGCTAATTGCACTCCTGAGAAAATAACAGGCTTCTTTTGCAGGCCTCTCAAGGAAGGCTGGATCAAACGTACCCATCAGCTGCGCTATTAGCACCCCATTCACTGTGTGAAAGAGTAAGCAATGTTTAGGACTTATTTTAGAGCATTTTAGAAGGAAAGTTCACCCCAAAATGAAAATTGTTATTGTTAACTCACCCTCATGTTGTTCTAAACCTGTGTTGATGTACTTCCTCTCAGGAACACAAAAGGAGATATTTTGTAGAATGTAACCAAACCATTTTATGGACAAAAAATTCTTGAATTTCTCAAATTATCTTATTTTATGTTCCACAGAAGAAATAAATTCATACAGGTTTGGAATGACATGATGTTGAGTAAATAATGGTAGAATTTTTTTTTTTTTAAGAGAACTACCCCAGTAAAGCAACACAACATTCAAAAATGAAAATGTATCCGTCATTATTTACTCGCCCTATGTCATTCCTATATGCTGTTTTATCTTCTAGTCCTAGTTGTGTTATGTGGTGCTAAATGAAGACTCGTTTTACACTTTATAGTCACAACATGTTCGTGTGTTTTGCACATAGGAGCTCTGACTGTGGGTCTAGTCAAGCAATGCCAGACCATCCATGGTCGAAACAGGGTATGTGTTTCCCCAAGCCTTCCTCCAGAATGGATCACTACCCTGTTCTTCATCATCTTAGGCATCATCTCACTCACTATCACATGTGGCCTGCTTGTGATCTCACACTGGAGGCGGG